TAAAGACACTATAACTCATGCATGGAGGAAAACTAACGTCGAAGGTCCCATTTTTATGATTCTAGACCCATTAAGACGTATGAAAGGACAGCTCAAAGGGTCTGGAGTAACCCATACTCACCAAGACCAAAGTTTTAGGACAAAAGAAGCATAAGACCATAACATGTAGAGATCTAAGCATACAAAGATCAAGGTTGAGACTTTATACATTCTTGCAACTGAGAAAGGTGCCTAGTCTCTGGATCCACAAGCTCAAGCTCCAACAAAGCTTCTTCACCAACTCCTTCTTCTACCAAAAGCACCAACTAACCAAAGATACACCCCAAAAAGGTGAAGAACACTCAAAGATGCTATTAGGGATTGAGATTAGGGTTTTAGGACAATGGAGGCTAATAAAGAGGCCAACTCTTGAGACTTAAGGTGATTATATAGGGCTTGAATCCAAAAAATTAGGGTTTTAGGTATGAGCATGTATGTTTGGCGTACATCCTTGTACTCCAAGAATACGTGTATGGCTCAGCGTCCCACTTAACCCATCTACACCCCGCGTTCACAAGGTTGTACGCCCTGCGTACGGTCTTGTCTTAACCCAAAATGATAAAGTCCAATCCTCCAAAAGCCCAAAACAAAATTACATAAATAACCAAATAAATAAATAATACCTTATAAATTTCCAGATATTACATCTATCTTGGTTCTAACCTTGTATCTCGTTCATCAATGGAATCCGAATATAAAGCTCTAGCAGATACGGTGGCTGAGGTAACTTGGTTGGAAGCTCTTCTTCGTGAACTACGAGTTCCTATTACCACAGTTCCTACTTTGTGGTGTGATAATCTACGATCTACCTATTTATCAGCCAATACAGTCTTCCATGCTTGTACCAAACATGTTGAAGTGGATTTTCATTTTGTTAGAGAAAAGGTTGTAGAAAGGAAGCTCTCAGTTCATCACACATCCACTGATGATCAGATAGTTGATGTCTTTACCAAGCCATTATCCTCTCAACGTTTTGAATGTCTTTGGTCCAAGCTGCATGTCGCTTCCCGACCTTAGCTTTAGGGGGAATATTAGACAGTTATTATATTCTAGAAGGATGTAGTGTGTAATTATGTAAACTATGTATACCTATGTAATATTTAATTATCAATACAAGATATCACAATACATTTACCAAGTTTAACTATCAGTTTGTTGTAATTGTTCCCAATCTTCTTCAAAATCAATTTTGTCACTTATGTTGCCTCAAAGCCAATCTTGTGTACAAATTAAACTTTCAATAATCTTAGGAGTCAAAGAACTCCTAAACACACCAAACCCCTCCCACTAGTGATAAAAACGAATTTTGAAGTCACCATTGAGACGGGAATGGCAAACACATCTCTAGCCATCAATGATAGAATCGGGAATCTTGAACTATTTACTTTCCACCAATCTGAAATATTAAATATTTTTTATTCGTCTTCAACACTTTCTTGCAAATACTTTTCTAACTCCCCAATTGATTCCACTATGTTCATCTTCATCTTTTCTCTTAGTTTATTTCTCAATTGGGGGTTTGGTGTCATAACATCCGGGTTTTGGCGTTTCCCTAATAGCGATGATGAAGTGGTAGACTCGGTGGTACGTGAAGTAGAACTTAGAGAACAAATTATAATATAATCATTATATAATTCATACATAGAATCCATAATATATTTCTTTTTGGCCTTCACCCCCTTTTCTCCATAACAGTCCTCAAATAGTATAACCAAATATTTTACTTTGTTCCTCGGATCAAGAATCAAAGCAAAGTAGAAAAATAAATTCATTTCTTCTCTATCACCAAAATACTTATCAAAATTTATTTTCATTGCCAATGCAATATCACAAAGACTAGCATCGGAAATAGCATCATCCAAGAGCGTACAAATGGAATAAATATCTTCAATTCACGTGCTTGATGCCACATAAAGGGTCCCGAAAATCCTCAAAGTAACATCATAAAAAGGTTTTAAAAATGACATAGATGCATAACCCTTTCCCAATCGCTCAATGAAGGTATGGACAGCCTGTAATACCTTTGGTGTCTTATTTTGCATTTTTTTTAATTTAATACTTATTTATTTTAATAATTAAAAAAATAAGAGAGGGACCACCTCCCCTCTCTCTCACACACATGTGTGATTGTTTTCTTCGTCAAGAAAACCCACACAATTATTTATCTTGTCAAAAGTAAAACACAAACACGTTTCACACATACATACACACTGTAATTAAAACACATTTACACACACTAAATGTTATGCTTGAAACCTATTATTTTCCACCGGAACAAAAACTCACAGCTTGAAACCCAAAGCTTGAAACATCCTTTGCGATTCCATAGAAAATAATAAAGATCTTCAATTCATTTTTATTTTCTTAAAGAATCAAGAACCCATACGTAACTTGAAAATGCTTAAACATAGAAAGTAGATAAAGGTGAAATGGGGTGATTTCTTCATATATAGCTGAGAGAAATGAACACAGAGAGATCGGGATTGAGATAGAGGGATGAAGGAGGTGAGGTAGGCAGTAAGCGACCTTGTTGCTATTTTTTTTGGTACGGATCGATGGCGGTGGTTGCGGTGTCGTTGTTGTTTATGGCCCGGTGGTTGTTGCAATGGAGGCCGACGAAAACTATGGTCGGAGGTCCTGCTTGTGGTGCTCAACCATTCACATTTCTTATTTCTTCATGATTTGGATAGAAATTGAAGGTGAACCTTTGGAACCCTAAATATGGTTTTTAAATTAGTTAGTGTTCATTTGAGGGTGAGTGGTTTTAGTAATCATGTGGACCGATGTGTGTGGTTTTAGTGTGTGGGTTTAGTTGTAGGTTATTGGTGTTGTAGGTAGGTTATGGTGGCGATGGTCTATGCTTAGGCTGTGCGGTATAGGAGGGGAAGAAGATGCGTAGAGGTGACGTGGCAAGGCCACCTACGCGTGAACACCGCCCCAGGTGCGCGTAGGTGCCTTGTGGCGTAGCCCCTTCCACAGACGAAGACAACCAATCACGATGAGAGAGTGTGTGTAACGGTCCGTTTTCGATTGTTTATGGAGTTTACAAAAAAAAATTAATTAAATTTAAATAACATCTTATATATATATATATATATATATATATATATATATATATATATACACACACACTACACTTTATCTTCATTTTACACTTCTAAATCAAAAAGTTCTCCTACTTTCTTTCTCTTTTCTTCAAAAAATGGACTCAAACCAAAATACCCCACCCACCCCCAAACACTCCAAGTAATTATCAAACATACATGCAATTGTTGAACTCTCCAATCCAACAACAACCTTTATTCACTAACCTTCCATACAACCCACAATTCTTCCAACAACAACGACCACAACAACAATTCATTCAACCCTAATTCACTCAACTCCAATTCATTCAACCACAATTCCAAGGTTTTCAACAACAAACTTCTCCACAGTTCCAAACACAATCATCTCAAGTCCCGTTATCTCAATCTGAAACTGTGAACCTCGACAACGACGATGAATGGGTCCAAGAAACACCACAACCATCTCGAAGAAGGCAACCAAAAGCAAAAGGGAAAAAGAAAGCATTGGCTTGGAACGAAGAAGAGGAAGAAGCTTTAGCAAAAGCTTGGATTTTCATATAATCTGTGACTTGAGAAGAGGCAACGCGCAAACCGGAGAAAGTTTTTGGCATCGTGTTTTTTCACGCGCTACTTGGAAGGCAAACGGATCGGTCGTATGACGCGGTCAACGGAAAATGGCGTGATCTTCGCGCGATTTGCACAAAGTTTAATGGCATATTTGAAAATCTAAAAAATATGCATAAAAGTGGTTCTAACGATTTCAACATTTTATCAACTGCGTGCTACCAATTCAAAGTTACAAACAATGGTAAACCATTTGGTCACCAAAAAGCATGGGAAGTTTGTCGTAACGGTCCAAAATGGGTCCTTAATCCGGAGTTATCGCATTCGGACTCGACCACCGACTCCAACAAAAGACCAAGAACTTCTTATTCGGACGCGGGTTTTGGGCTAGACCTCAATGATGACGTCAATGTTGCCGATGGAGAGGGTCTACCGGAAGTCCAACTTCGTCGACCACCAGGAAGAGACAAAGCAAAACGGGCGGCGTCTTCAAGCGGAAAAGCAATCGCAACTACGACGACGGGTTTATGGAATCCATAGATAAAACTCTAAGTTTTCTAGAAAGAAAATACGAATCAACGGAGGAATCTCGTCGCCAAAAAATCTCTTTTACCGATCTTCAAATCATAAACACAAAGCCCCAACCCGATCTCGACCCGGAAAATCTCGCGACATTTCTCAAAATCCAACAAGTCCGCGATAAATATGGAAAGTAGGTTATAATATTTATGTTTTAGTTTGTATGTCTTATGTTTTTTTAAGTAATTTAGGATTTTTATTTTTTATTATGTTTTTTAAGTAATTTAGGGTTTTTTTTTATGTTTTTTAAGTATGTTAGGATTTTAATGTGTTTTAAAACTAATGTAATGTGGTTTAATTTAATGTTTTAAATTTAATGTCTTTATTTGAATTATTTTCTAAATTTAATTTAATAATGTCAAAAATAAAAATAAAAATAAAATAAAAAACACAAAAATGATATGGAGTGGTAACCATTTCCAAAGGTTAATGGTTTGGTAGTGGGTTTATAATGGAGTTGATGTGGCATCACTTTTTGAGTAGGTTGGTGTGAGCATACCCCTTAGCCTTAAAGGGTAAAGGAGAGAGAGAGAGAGAGAGAGAGAGAGAGAGAGAGAGAGAGACCCTTTATTATTTTTAATTATTAAAATAAATATTAAATTTTTAGTTTTCGGAGATACCAAATACGCAGCGAAACTAGTTCAAAATGACCACCAATCCAAAACTTTAGTGGTTTGGACATTTTTCTTGAAAAAAATGCAAACCACAAGGACCATTTTTGCAGTTTTGTCAAATAAATATTAACAAACAAATAGAGTAATTAAAAACAAAAACAAAATTAACTGCATTTTACTCGCTACATATTCAAATTGATTCAACTAACAAATGTTAACTAAACTACAAGATAAAAATAAGTCAACACTACATAAAAGCAACAAATAAAAACACACCCCACCCCCTCCAATTTTACACATTTGTTGAAAGAGCCCCAGCAGCAAAAAGAAGATTCCTTCGCGAAAACTGTCAATAAAAAAAAATGCCATCATTACAAATTTTCATATGTAAAGACAAATACAAGAAACAGCATTGTAATTTCATTTGTTTATTTATTATAGCATCCCACTTTCATTTTTTATTTTATTGTCCGAATAGGGAAAAAAGAAATAGAAAGTAGAATGTTATCATTGGGTAGATTTATTTTTGTTCCTTAATAAGAAAAACATGGAAGTAACATTGTAATAAAAAAAAAAAAAAAAACGTAAATGTAATGCTATAATTAATAATAATACACAAATAGATGAAAGTAGGTTTCTATTTCAATTAAGTTGAGCGTTTACCCGTAAAGCATAAACCGGGGTGGATTTGGTAGGTAGAGTCTTGAGTGATCTCAGCCTATTTGTATTTCCACTTTTACTAACAAATCAAATAAAATTTATATAAAAAAAAAATTAAAAAAAAAATAAAAATAAAAACAATTATAAAAAACTTACCTGTCTTCGGTTTTTGGCGTTTTCACACTTGTGTTAACGTCCCACAACTTTACAGTCGAATCAGCCGAACCAGACGCAAGAAGCGACCCCTCGCAACTGAAACATATTTGTCAGTACAAGTACAAGTACAACCTGTTCTGTTCTGTTCTGTCATGTGGGGCCCACGAATGAAGGAAGAGAAGAGTTAGTTATACCTAAAAGCAAGAGACCAGACACATGAAGTATGGCCCACAAGAGGAGTGACACATCGACCATTGGAAACATCCCACATCATGATAGTTCCATCTTCATCACCAGATGCCATGTATCTACCATCGGGTGACATGGCTAATGATAAAATCATACTCCTATGACCAATGAAAATTCGTATGCATTCACCAGTTTGTACATCCCATAAACGAACAGTTTTGTCACTTGATCCAGTTGCCACGTAATTGCAGTTCATATGCCATTGTACACACTGCCAACCAAAAACAAAAAAAAAAAAAAAAAAAAAAAAAAGTTACAATTTTGGTCCCTTGGTGTACCTGGTTTTTGCAATTTTGGTACTTAAATAAAATATACTCACATCAACATCGGATAAGTGTCCTGCAAGTATTCTTAGAGGCTGGATTCTATCCATTGACCAAATCCTAGCTGTTCTATCATGAGATGCACTTGCAAAATAATGTCCAAGTGGACTAAACTGCAAATAATTACCAAATAAATTTAATACAATAGAAAATAGTACTAGTAAACTTTTGAATTTTGACTTTTGACTTTTGACTTTTCTACCTGAACATCCCATACAGGGTAATTATGACCTTTGTAGCAGACGACATTTGCATTCAACTTTGTGCTCCATAATCGAACTGCAGTAAATGTTTATATATAATATTATATATATCCACTGTAAAACATGATAAAAAGCAAAGAAAAAAAAAAGAAACATACTTGTTGAATCTGATGATGATGATAAGAGAAAATCCCCAAAAGGACTAAATGAAGCTGAATAAACTGGACCAGAATGCCCCTGATACAAAGTGTAAGACCTTTTTCCACTATTTGATCCATGTGTGTTTTCATCATTTTCACCCTGCAAAACAGCTGAAAACAGAAACTCATTTTTTTTTTACATTTATTGTATGTTTAAAAAGTTAATTATTTAAGTTTTGAAGTAAATAAGTTGGATGACTTACAACTCCCCATACGCCCAAGTTTTGCCATGTCCCAGACCTGAAAGATATTAAGTTTATAAAAAATAAGAAAATAATATAAATGTAATTTTGTATTAGAAATTTAGAATGTTAAGAAATAAAATTAATGAAAAAGACCTTGAGTGATGAATCTGAGAAACCTCCAGCTACTAATGATCCATCGTGGGATATTGATGAGCAATTTAATCTGAAACAAACGAAAAAATAAAATAATATAAATAAAAGACAAAGAAGAAACGAAATATTTGAAATTTGTAAAAGGAGAAAATACAAAAATACCCGTTGTGTGTATTAATGAATGTGTAGAAACTAACTGAAGGAAGTGTGGAATTGTTTAATTGTACACGGTTTCTAAGGTCTTCAAGAATAGAATGTTCTACATCTGTTGATCTGAGATTAAAAAAAAAAATTAAATAAATAAAGAAATGTTTAAAGAAAAAAAAAAAAAAAACTATGTAACATACATTGTTGGCAAAGTAAGCTCAGGTTTGACCCGTGGGGCAGCAGTTGACTTTTCACCTTCCCCTCGGGCAGCTTTCCCTGCCCCACCAACAACTTTATCCTTCTTTAGCTTCTTGAGGGGCCCACCTTGCTTTCCACCCTCTGTTGATTTTTTCTGAATAATAAACACAACAAAATATACATCATAAACAGTAAAAATGTAAAACTAAACAATTAAAATAAATACCTTATTTTCATCTAACTCTCCTTCTTTGCCTTCTCCTTCTGTCTTTTCTGAATCTGAGAGCAATCCACCTGCTTTATCAAGCCGATCTTCTAAACAATCTTCAAGCAACTATTAAAAAAAAAATTAAAATTTTAGTTTCTTACAATGTGAAAATAATGAGATATTTAGTTTTTTACTGTTTTATTTAGTTTTTTGCTAACCCCCCAATGTATTTCTTTTTGATTTATTAAATTAGCAGCATCTTGTCCACTTCCAACAAGTGAAAAGGCTTCAGCATCATCAGATATAGAGCTAGGTTGTCCAGGAGAAACTGTAAAATAAAAAAATAAAAATCCAAATAGTGAAAAGATTAAAAGTTTTAACATTTTTTTTTACATGATATAAAAGATTGTAATAAAAACTTACCTTGGAAGTCAATATGCTCATTGATAATACCAAGCATTGTAATGGATTGTGTCTTGTGTAGATATTGAAGAAGAAGATCATAAGAATACTACAAAGAAAAATACAACAAGGCTATTATTAATTATTAATTTATTATCATATAATATTTTGATTAAATTTACAAAAGGATCAAAAGGTAACCTGACATATCTTTATATTCACTTTGCTCTGCCTTAGAGTGTGAGCAAACTCCATTTCCTGCATATTAACAAGAGTTTATTTCGATATAGTGAAAAAGTGAAATAAAGTTTATAAGTTTAGGGGTGTTTTGGTAATTAACCTCTAAATGAGATGGGGAAAGAACACCTTCTAATTTCGTGAGGTCTCGTGAATGCATCATCTCATGATCTTCACGAAAAGTATTGAAGAATGCTCGAGCTGAAAACCCAATTTTTTTAATAAAATGAGAATAATAATTAAACTAATGAGTGGCATATTTTGTAAATGACTAAATTCAAGATATATATGTGTGTGACTGTGTGTACCTTCTTGAAGATGGCCTTTTGCTATGAGATCCATGAAACAGTGGATAAATACTGGGTAGAGAACACGAAGCAATTCATGCTGCATTGTTAAAAGCATTAAAATATAATAAATGAAGTAATAATGAACATGTGATAAAATTATAAAAACCAAAAAAGATATGACATTTAGTATATGTGCACCTTGTATAAATCTAGTGAGCTATAAGTCCATGACCTCAACTTGCTGTATCCATCATGATACAGTGTTGGAATACTTTCTGACCTGAAAGCATAATGCATTGTAATAACAAAATAATTAATTGATAATTGAGGAAGATGTGAAGAGGGGGTAAAATGGTAAATATAGTACTGGGAAAACGCGAGGATTTGTTTAGCAAGATCTGGATCTGAAAGGGAAACATCGGTAGCAGAAATAGATGAGGTGGAGTTCTTGTTGTTCTTGTTTTGTTGTTCTTGTTGAAAAATCTGTTCAGTTTGGGTGAATCCCTTTTTCTTTAGATACAAATATACAGCTTTATCCAACACTTCTTCATCCATCTCAGTCTTCTGTGTATATCTTCTTTTACTGAAACATAAGACAAACACGCATCATTAGTGAATTAAATCCAAACTAGGATCAAAATAAACAGGAATTCATACAGAAAAAAGAAAAAGTAGTAGTAAAAGCAACCAAAATTTAATGACAATCATGATCTCTAACGAATATTTGAACACAAAAGTCTTGTTTGCATAAGGACAAATCAAAAAATTCATTTCAAAACCCTCAAAATCCTATTTTCTACTCTGTAATATAAGCCCTAGAAGTAGGCGTAGAATTACAAACAACAAACCAAGAGGAAAAACCGATTGGGAAACAAATGTTTCCATTGTTATGATTTTAGAATTTAGGGCTCTAAAGCATAGAGATTACAAGCGACCAGATTAACTATAACAACCTAAATTAATAAATACAAACAACTAAAACAATGTTAACATCCAATTAAAAACTTAGGGCTCCAATTTATCAATTCATAATGACAAAATACGCACAAACACACACGAGAAAGGTGAAAGAAAGAAAATTTGAGTCCACAATGCCTGCAATCTCCCTTCCAGCGAGTATGGATTTGCGTTTGGTGTCTGAATTTGTAGTTGACAACTGAAAAGTGCATCAATTTACAGAAAATTGACGATGCCGTTTTGAACTCGACTAACTAACGATTACACATCAAAACTAAGACTTGCAAACAACTAACTAGACAGGGATGACGAAGCAATTAAACAAACTAGGGTCACATTTACATAATACACAACCATACACGAGCAAGACGAGAAAGCAAGAAACCTGAGTCGCCAATGTCTGAGATCTTCCTGCCTCCGGTGCCAAAACCTGTTTGTGTTCGTGCTCGATTTAGGGAAACGATGAACGAGGACTTGAAGTAGCAGAAGACCTGAGAGAGTTTTTGATTGAGGGTTTGAAGTGGGCGGGGGGTGATGGACGATGGTTATGTTCAGTTCGGTTATATAAACGAACTTAAGTTTTAACAAAAAAATATATTTTCTTATCCTTTTATACACACGTAAATGAATAAATTTTTTTAATAATTGAGACCACCTTATAATCAATAATAAAAACTGTTTTATAGATATTTTGATTAAAACATATTGTATTTTAAGAAAAGGAAACGATATTTTTATTTATTTATTTTATTCATCTACTTAAAAAAGAAAAGAAAACGATTTGTTTTTTCATCCTTCATTTTAAGTCAAAATTTATAATGATGATAAAAGTAAAAATCAAAGCATCTTTTTTTAAATGCACGAATCAAAAACGAAAATATCTATCATTTTTTAAGAAAATTATAATTGTAAACATAATAAATTAATATTCTTTTACTTATATTTCTTTAATGGTCAATTAGTAGATCAACTGCCAACTAGGACTAGCCTGGTTGGTAGAGACAAATGTCTTTTGGAGTAGAAGCTGCCAACTAGGACTAGCCTGGTTGGTAGAGACAAATGTCTCTTGGAGTAGAAGCCCCAGGTTCGAACCTGGACAAAATGAGTTTTTTAATTTTGGAGGTCTAACATAATCAATTGATTTGTTGTTCAAAAAAAAAAATAGATCAAACATTTGTGCAACAAATTTACATTCCCCCTTGCATGTAAATTAGCCTATGATTCTCCCACGTCGTGGTTCCCGAGTCAAAAATCATATTTCAAACCATAAGTTGCTCAAAATTCAATTTAACACTTGTGGAACAGATTCTAATTAATCTAAATGAATATACAACGCTAATAAAATGATATAAACATGATATTGATCATTCATTAAGTATAATTCAACTTCATCCATTGAAGATCAACTCAAGCTTCAATTCAATCGGTTGATCAATATTCTAACGTCGTTTATGCTAATTCAAACCCTTTATAACATTAAGACAATGATTTTAAACTAACCATTTAAAGAGGAAGAATAAAAACTTACTTATTTGCTATAGTATAAAGGGTTTTTGGGTTTGAGCGAAAATAAAAAAGAATCCCCTAAAAGACTATCAACAACATAAAATGAGAAACGAATACAAGACAAAGAACAAAAAAACAGTCAGGTTCTATTATGCACAATAAAGAAATTTTTTAGAGAACATTCCATAGACTTTAAAAGCAACCAAGTTTTATGCCTTCACCAAGAACAACAACCTAGTTTGGGTGTCACACTAAAAATAGCAGGCAAGTATTGCTTATCTATCAAATGGAACTATCAATAAACCTTTGAAAAGTTTGAGCATATTCCACTTACATGGGCTTGAGCTATGGGGGTATTTTCGTCCAAAATAACCATTTTAATTTTTTAATATTAAGGGTCCATCAAACAAACACGTGTTTTCACTTTTTTTTAAAGAGGTCATTCTTTTTCACTTATGCACAAACAAATACAAAATTTAATTTACTTAGATAATTTATTCAATACTATTTTTATCTTGAGTAAAATTGTATATACAACTAAGTAAAACAAGTTGCTACTTGTAACTTTGTAAGCATTATCGATTCTAACAACTATGAAGTCAAGTTCAAGTATCAAGCAAACTTTGTTAGAATTGGGATACAGTTAGTAGTTTTTTTAGCCAAGTCATGAATAATCTTAGTTTAGCTCACCTAAAGTCTTTTAAATTAAAAGTATTTTATGAAAAATACAATGTAAACATGATCCATCACAAAATCAGTTTAGTATCTGATTCATAAAGAAACTGAATATCTTCATCACGAGATTCGTCTCTCCCTAGATTTCTTCTAGACCTACAATAAACTTGGTGTCGCTGTAGGTTGTAGCTCTTGAGAGTTCATCGAAATAAGATTTGAAGTCTTACCCGTGCGGCCTTGCCTCTGCGTGAAATCAGATTCGAGAGACGAATCAAATTTCTTGATTTGTATAATATCAAAGTCTGAAGAAAGAAGACGGGAGCTTGATCGATGGAGTATTATAGATTCTTAAACGATGGAGAATACGAGTACTCGCTAAAATCTCAGTTTGAAGGTTGATTGGTTTTTTGAATGGAAAAAAATCCGTAAAATCAAATTTTGCATTTGGGAGAATACGACGAGTAGTCTCTTTTTTTTTAAAGGCAAATAAAATATATAGAAAATAAAGGCATGAAAACTCTTAACTTTGAAAACGAGAAGTCACCATGATTTACTGGATCGTAAAAAGTTTGTTTTGGAAAATGAAAAGACTTCTTTGAAACTTAATAATAATAATAATAATAATAGTAATAAGAAAAAAAGAGTATCCTAAAAACTTAAGTTGCAAGGATCGAACACGGGGCTATAGTTATTTCTTTCTTGCGCGTCAACCATATAATCTCTACGCGACTTTGGTTTTTTGTTGTAGATTATATTTTTATATTATCAAAATATACAAACTACTCGTATCTTGGAGGGGCCCCGGGATTTGGCGAGGCCCGGGGCGGTCGCCCAGCTTGCCCACCCTCTAGGGTCAGCCCTGACACTGTAGCACAACAAAGTTTGGCGAATTTACACATTTAGCCACTCAAGTATTTTTGTAACACCCTGTTTATTTATTAGATAAATAAATAAATTAATGAACGAATAGAAGCCCTAAAATAAATAATTATTTATCAAATGATGGTTTCATAGAGCTAATTGTCACACTTTAAGAGATTGGGGGTTAAAAGTGTAAAATCTGGAATTTGTAAGTATTTATGAAGGCAGGGGCTACTTAGTAAAATAAGGGACTTATTTTGTAAAGGAATTCCATGGATGGGGTTGAAAAGGTAAGTTATGTACTAAGTTTGAAGAAAGAAGGAGATGGAGGGGCTGGAAGTGCCATTATGGCAAACAATTTGGAAATGGACGGGAGTATATAAGGCACCATTGCCTAACCCTAACCCTAAACGGGAGGAGATTTCTCCAGCCGCCAGCCCCCTTCATTGCTCTCGGACGCCGCCACCACCATTCATGACGTCGGAGCCAACCCGTCTACACCGGAAAGAAAGCTAGGCCGTCGGAGGTTGACTTTGTGGATCGTCGTCGTCGTTCCCCGAGCAGTTACGTCGCCGCCGCCCTTTCATCTTCCTCGTATGTCGTCGTCGTCATCTTCTGGCGTGCGACGCTCGTCGCCGGTGCTACTCCAACTGCCATCGCTACCTTCTGCCAGTGGAAGTCGTTGTTTCCCGCTATCTCGCGCCACCGCCGCCCCAGCGGTTGTTCCCTTCTGGTGCCGACCTCCATCCGTTGCACGCCACCAGGTGGGGGCTGTTCAATCTAGAGTGCGAAGCTGTTGCTGATTATGTTGTTAGGTGGGCGTGATAGGCTACCCGGAGATCAAGAAAAAACCCACCATGGCCGCCGACCATGGTGGTTGCTGCCCTGAAACCGTTTACCGCCACCACAGACCACCGTGAGGTGGTGGCTGTGTGAGTAGATCCCTTGATCAGTGCGTTTTGAAGTTGGTTGCTTGGTGATTGGCCGGAAATCGTAAAAGCCACCACTGCCACCACCATGAGGTGGTGGCTGCCGCCATGCGCCACCGTCGGCCACCATTAGGTAGTTGTGTGTGTGTATGTGATTAGCTTAGTGAGTGTGTGTGTGTGTGTGTTAATTGATAATTTTATTGTAAGATGTAATTAGGAATTGAGATAATAAAAGAAATTGAAAACCACCACCTTAGGGTGGTGGCTGCCGCCACCGGCCATCCTGTCGGGGTGGCGGTGTGCGTTGCCTCGCTGTGTTGATTCGTTTAGGGTGCTTGAAACCCTAATGGGCCTTGTAAGCTCCAAGGGACCCTAATTGACCCAAATAAAACCCTAATGGTCTTAATGCTATTCTAATGGACTCTAATTGACCCAATAAAGCCCTAATTGACCTAAAAGCCCAACAAATTGATAAATGGGCTAATATTTGGATTAGAAACCCTAATTAGGGTTTGGAAAAACCCTAATGCCAATAAAACCCTAATTTGGGGAATTAACCGGGACACGCGGGAATTATTTAATAACTTGAGATATTAAATAATAATCATTGGCAAAGATTAATCTAAGCGATATTGGACTTAATGGATTAAGTCCTTAGAGGATTAAGTCCTTAATGGGTTAAGTAGGAAGCTTAACCCTAATCATCATTTTATGTGAAACCCTAATTTGACTTGGGTTTATTGTTGGGCCTCACTATTGGGCCTTGATGATTGGGTTATTAATGGGCCATCCAAAGTCAAGCAATTGGACTAGAATAATTTAATGGGCCTAGGGTAAGGCCCATGTAAGGGGTTTGGGCCCAATTTGGAAAATTGGGTCATAGATGGGCCATAGTTTGGGCCTTAATGGTTATATGATTTTGGGCCATAGAATGTCGAATGTTGGACTGGACTTTTGGTTGGGCCTCAGAATGAGACCATGTGAAGGTTTGGGCCCAATTTGGAAAATTGGGCCATATGTTGGGCTTTGAGCCATAGTTGGACTTTTGGGCCTTTGGATTAGGCCTCGGGCTTGAATTAAGCCAAGTTAGGGGTAGAGTAGTCTTTTACCCCCCAAGCATGGACTTATGGTTATGTATTGGAACCCAATTATTAATTGGGTGTTATTTTGGTGTTGACAGTTCGGGAATCTGTCATCCAGCAGCTGGGGTTGAGTCTGCAGGACTTCAACAGTGTGGGATTGTGTCTACGGGACTTCAGCAGTGTGAGGTGAGTCTCCTCACTGTTTGTTTGGGTCTAAGGCACCAATGCCGACCCATTTAGTTTATGTATGATAGGAAGACCCGGGGGTTAGCCCTAGGCATTATGCATGAAAGACCAAGAGGCGGCTCCTGGCACACAATATGTTATTATGTATGGTAGGAAGACCCGGGGGTTAGCCCTAGGCAACATTTATGAAAGACCAGGAGGTGGCTCCTGGAGCACTATATGCTATTATGTATGAAAGACCAGGAGGTGGCTCCTAGCACACTATATGCTGATTAGCTAAGTAGAGTAGTATGTATGCTAGTTGTCTTTGTGATGCTTGCATGGAAGACCAGGAGGTGGCTCTTGGCACTTGTCTGTGAGACCGAGGGGGTGGCCCCCGGCTTTGCAAGAAAGACCACGTGGCGGCCCGTGGCATAATGGCAAGACTATGTATGGCACATAGCACCTTTGATATATGTATGGCTCATGGTTATGTATGACAGTATGCGAGTATGTATTTATATGTTAGACAGTATCCGGTCGAAAGAGACCGAAAGGGTAGGCCAGCACCCAGATATGCTAGGCGGTATGTTGATATGTATGGTACGTGGTATTTGGGGAACTCACTAAGCTTCGTGCTTACGGTTTTCAGTTTTGGTTTCAGGTACTCCGTTTTCAAAGGAAAGTAGCCGGCTCGATCGCAGCGCATCACACTATGGTTTTCCGCACATGAGATCTTTGGGATTACACTCTGATATTGTTTTATGATAACATGTTTTGATTATTTCTACTTTGGTTTTGACATGACATGATATTATGGATGTTTTCTTATACTGTTGGTTATGCATAACTTAATTAAAACAAAATTTTTGGCCTTAAATTTTGGGATATTACAAGTTGGTATCAGAGCCTTGGTTTGAGGGATTCGGACACGCTCTCGGATGTGTCTGAACTCAAACTAAGGACTTTGTATGAAAATTTTTAATAGTAAAATCATTTATAAAAGAAGTTTGAAAAGAATTTGAAAAGAGAACAGAACTTTGAAAAGAACAAGGTGTGTGATGCGTGCAATCAGCCGAGCTCAAGTAAGTTTTCCCCAAGATACCCATACATGTGATGTTATGATATGATATGATTATGAGAACTGCATGCTAGATTAGGGCTGAGGATCTAGGAGGATGCCTTATATGCCTATTGTATGTGCTTGTAGACTTGCATGCTAGTACTGATCAATCAGTGATACGATAGCCTGTTTAGGTTATGCCTGATTGTATGAGCCTTTGAATTGCATGTACAGATTCCTTATTAGAGGATAGAATAGTTTGATTGGAATATGATGGTTAGATTTTTCCATTGTCTGAATGTTGCTTGCTTTGTGCTTTGTGGGACTCTTAGTAATGTGAGCTAGTTATTAAGTGAATATGCTAGGTCACATGTGGCACAGGCTGGATAATCTCAGAGTGATAGATTTGACCCTATTGCGCAGCTCTTGTCTGATTCCAACCGTTCTAGGGATGGGTCTATTACTCGAAGGATTATCTAATCTTTGTTGCATGTGGCTATATTCATGAGGTAGCTAGTTGATATTATTGGGAATCTTTCAGCAGCTGAGGATTGGGTGGGTACGGGAACCTAGGGAAGCCTAGGATATGTTTCAGTGGGTTAGTAGTGAGGCTCAGTGAGTTTTGGGTACCAGTTTGAGGAAGTGACTTGGAGGATTCGGGAGGATTGCTGAGGAAAGTATGGATAGGTGTGGAAGGTAGTATTGGGCCTGTACTACTGAAAGCACAGGATCCATACTCGAATCGGTGAGAGTCTTGGAGAATCTGAGAAGCTTCGGGGAGAAGTTGGTGACCCGGTTTGGGGACAGAGGATGTTCCAGTTGTTGCTGCTTAGCCATTGGCAAGTGAGCTAGTGAGCGTGACAGGGTGTCAGACCCTGAAGGATATGACTTCCAAGAGTTTGTAGATGCGAGATTGGTTTGGAGCGCCCTGGGAAGAGAGGGTCACGCCAGGTGTGTATAGCAGAGGGTCCCGGGAAGAGACCCATGACTTCTGATCATTGGGAGAAAGGCCAGCAGGGCCGGAGTCAGTGCAGCACGTGCGAGAAAGTGCACAAGGGAGTTTGTCGCTCCAAGGGTTTAGGCTGCTACGGGTGTGGCAGGGTTGTTCATGTCAACAAAAGGTGATTAGGATTCCTCCAAATATTGTGGGTATGTCATCATCTACTACTATTAGGTGGATGTTGGGAATACGTATTGCTTTGGGATTGTGAGTGAGTTTGGATAAGTCAGATCTCGGGTCGGTTTTCTGCTAGTGTTTGGGTTATCAATGATCATATATGCCATCCTGCATGCCGAAGGGTCCTTGATGAACCCACAGAGGGATGTACCTTGCGGAGTGGGTTCCGCGTGTACCGTTATCATTCCGGATCTTTATCAGGATCTGTGCAGGAGTACCTAGAGGACAGTAGGTCAGAGTTAAAGCAATAGTTCTCCAGGGATGTTAGAGTTCAGTGATTCTATCATTGTTCGGGTATGGTCGTCAGCTGTCTATGGAAGAACTTTGGAGTTCAAGCACTATCGTTGCTAGGAAAGGATTGGTAGCATGAAGATAGTAGTGTCAGTAGCGGGTGTTAGATGCATGAGTGTTCGGGCATTGGATATTTAAGAGAAATTTACTTTCGCACGGGTGTGTTTAGTTAAAGTTCAGTGGTGCTGCAAGATTGGAAGTGGGAACGAGGATCGGTCAGCTAGGGTGAAGATTAAGGCCTCCAATCGTCAGCATGAGAGGTGGATTGAGGTGTCAGACTGGACCAGATTTCAAGAGTACTCTTCACGATTTTAGAGGATGGACGATCTTAAGGTTTGACTGGTAATTGATCGTTAGCATTGGTAAGCATAGGTTGTCATCAGTGTGATACTAGAAAGCGAGAAGGATTGGTAATCCTTCAATTCTCGTGTACAATGAAGACTTAGTCGAATCTAAGTGGGGGGGAGACTTTTTGTAAAGTTCTCCAAATGTGAGTTCTGGTTGCGCGAGGTGCAATCTCTTGGGCACCTTGTCAACCAGAAGGGTATTCTAGTCGATCCGGCCAAGATAGAGGTCGTAATGCAGTGGGAGATTTCGAGGTCTCCAGCTGAGATTCGGAGTTTCCTAGGTCTAGTGGGTTATTATTGGAGATTTATACGGGACTTCTCCGAGATTGTGGTTCCTTTGACCCGACTGACCAAGAAGTCGGTGGCCTTTCGTTGGGGGCCTAAGCAGCAGACAGCCTTCGAGACTCTCAGATAGCAGGTTTCAGGAACCGGGTTAGAGCTTCAGTTAGCACTTAAGTTCAGTTGAGGGTTAGGTAGAGTGCATGATCGACCCGTTTGGGACTAGTGTTGTAAGACTACGGGGGTAGCCGTAGCATTCACTAATAGTCAGATAGTATGGAGAGTGTTGTAAGACTGCGGGGGTAGCCGTAGCATTCACTAGCAGTCATTTAGTATGGGAAGTATTGTAAGACTGCGGGTGTAGCTGTAGCATTCACTAGCAGCCAGATAGTGTTAGAGTGTTGTAAGCCTACG